AGCCCCCCCCCCCCCCCCCACAATATTGGTAATTATTGAGGTTTTTGGATAATTGTTCAATTCCTTTTGGCTTTCACATAGTCCTAGAACCACCCCTGACGCAGTCTCAAACTTGTCTGGGCCACTTAATTCAACAACCGCCTTTGCAGGTGAGTTGTATACTGCTTCCCACGAATGTCAGATTGCCGAGTAAGGGTGGAGGGTGTCCTGTTCTTTCTGCTTGGGCTCCGGTGTGTTCGATCGTTGATCTAAAGAATCGAGAGCCAGTGTAGCGAGCATCAGGGTTTGACTACATGGGTTCTGCATTCCTAATGGAATCTACCACAGGAGCCAGAGGCAATAATGATGGTACCATTATTGGTATGATGATTACTGTTATTACCCATAATTATTAGTTATGTTAGTTACTTCTGGGTTTGTTTGTTCTAGAAAAGAATTGGCAGTAGCATGCAAGATCCCGGTTGTTGAAGTATCATGAGGCAGCATGTAGTTAGGGAAGAAATCACACTGCAAACGTCACCTTAAGGCCCCGTGTATTGTGGGAAATTTTGCCGTGACAACGCAGTCAGTCGAGGTGCGGAGATCAACATGTTCAGGGTCTCGGGTTGAAGGCATATTGAGAGTTAGGGGCATGACGGCATGGAAGTTCAGAAGCAGCACGGTGAGGTATCCCGGTGTTTGAGCAGCGTACCACACTTCCCTAGGTTGGTCTCATGACACGAGAAGCGAATTCTCTGATTTCTGAGTTTCAAGAATGGATCCTTCCGACCCAAGCCTTAAACCCACCATTTAGGCTTTGAGGGTGTTGGTAGATGCCGGGTCCTTGAGGCAAGAGTCTTAAACCGCACAGCCCCAACTCCCAAGCAATCAAACTTGCGGTGCCCCGATTACATCAGTTCGGGCCATCTGGGGTTTAAGGTTATTAAGGCTTCCGCACCCCATAGTGACGGTGACGCTCAACCGCCATACCGAGCATTAGAACAGATCCCATGCCGTAAACTTTATATGCCAAAATAGAACAAGATCTTGCAAAGAACAGCTGCTGCAGCAAGCATGCAGAGCCCTGCACTAACCCTAAACTCGAACCCGCATCCGTCTCCAAACCCAGTAAGGTCCCCACAACTCCATTTATGCCTTACTAAGCCCTAAACCCCCTAGGCCCCAAACCCTACACCCTAGACTTACTCAACCCCTACACCGCTACAGTAAACCCCCAAACCCTCAATCCCCTAAACCCTCAACCCCTGAACCCCTAAACCCTTTAACCCTCTCAACCCCTGAACCCCTGAACCACCAAACCCCGAAACCCCCCTAAACCCTCTCAAACCCTCAACCCCTGAAAGGTAAAAAAAACCCTTTAGCCCTAGACCCGTAGGCTCCATTGTAGTTCCTTTTTGTGCTTTATATACAGGATCCTATAAGGTAACACCCAAACGGAACAACAATGGAGCCTATGGGTAGACCCTGAACCCTTCACCCTAAACCCTGAACCCTTCCCCCTGAACCCTAAACCCTTTCCCCTGAACCCTAAACCCTGAACCCTAAACCCTACACCCTAAACCCTAAACCCAAAACCCTACACCCTAAACACTAAACCCTAAACCCTGAAGGATGGACCTCCACTTCCCCCGCGAACTGCGAGTACTGTACCCCCGGAGACAAGTGCGAAGTCGGCGAAGCGAGGCGGAGCTGTGGTTTCCGTTTGAGGGAGTTTAGGGTTTAGGGGGTTTCAGGTTTTGGGGTTTCGGTGTTGGGGGGTATAGGGATTGGGGTTTGGGGGGGTTAAGGCTTGGGGGGTTTAGGCTAACACGGTCAAGGGCTGCCTTAAGAAATCCACAAAAAGGCTACAATAGGGCTTCCTGAATTTGGTATAGTCTAGGGGCTTTGTAGCGATACTTCTTATATCTTCTTATCCCACTTATGACCCCTAAACCCTAAACCCTAAACCTAAACCCTAAACCCTAAACCCTAAACCCTAAACCCTAACCCTAAGCCGCAAACTCGTAGATCCGAAGCCTTAAACCCCAGCCCCCAATCCTACGGCGGATGATATAAATCCTGCATTGCTCATAATGGGAGTTTCTGAAAATGAGGGGTACCTTATTTTGGGGTCCTTATAATAAGGATCCTACTATTTGGGTACTATATTAGGGTCCCCTATTTTCGGAAACTCCCTAAAAAGGAATGTACCATAATTCCCATGGTTTAGGGTCCTTGAGGTAATTCAGGATTTATATCATCAGCAGTAGGATCCTAAACCCTAAACCTAAACCCAATCGTAGGACCACTGCTCTGAGGATTTTAGCCCGATGCCCTACAGGCTCTAAGCCCTACACCGCAAGTTGCCTCGGCCCGAAAGGCTCGCGTTTTGTTTTGGGGTTTTAGGGTTGGGTTTAGGGTTTAGGGTTTATAGGGTTTAGGGCAGGAATTTGGCAGAGTTTCCAGAAGAATGCCCTTTGGGGTGCTGGGTCCCTGCTGAAACGCTTGAAACACAAGGTGACCATGTTCGATCTCGTACTGCGCAGCCAGAGCCCAACCCCCAAAACCTGAAACGTTCAGCGCTCAGCAGAGTCGCTCTGGACCCATCAGAACCCGTGCGCTGTTCAGACAACTCTGTGTTTGATCTAGGACATTTTCAGGTGGGTAGTTGTCGTTATAGGAGCCTGATGGAAGGTCTATATACCTTATAGAAGCCTTATAGAAGCCCTATATATACCCTAAACTCCCCACCTGTAGTTTCCTTTACTTTGAGGGCTTCAGCAGGCAATCGTAGGATCTCCGTGTGAGGACCCCTATATGAGGTACCCCTCGATTTCAGAAAGCTCTATCTAAGTCTTCCTCGACTCGCCGCCCCAATCTAAACCCAGATCCTTTATCGAACCATGGGGTTTAGGGTTTAGGGTTTAGGGTTTAGGGTTTAGGGTTTATCGAACCATGCCTGAAGCCAGACCAAAAGCTGCCAGCCTCTTCTTGCAGGCGAAGTCTACCTCATCCGTCAATCCTACACTCCAAACCTTGCCCTAAACCTAACCCCATGCAAGCACTAACACCTAATCGTCTCAACCCTAAACACCTACACCCTATAGTACCCTTACAGTTCCTTTCAAGGAGCCCTAAACCGTCTTTGCAGGCACGACAAGGTCTGCGTTCGTTCCGGAGACCTCGGGAAAGTCGAGGAGCTGCCTTCGATGTTTTGGGGGTGTAGGGGCTTTAGGGGTTTGGGTTTAGGGGTTCAGGGTTTATGGTTCAGGGGTTTCGGGGTTTCGGGGTTTAGGGGTTTGGGGTTTAGGGGTCTGGGGTTTAGGGTTTAGGGTTTAGGGTTTAGGGGTTTAGGGTTTAGGGTTCAGGGGTTTAGGGGCTTAGGGTTTGGAGTTTAGGGTTTCGGGTTTCGGGTTTTTCCCCGTGGAACATTGCTGCACTAAGCCGCAATCCTCAACAGCAGGAGCTGGACAGCTGGGATGATGAGAGAGTGTTCGAGGCCCCGTGCATTGGGACCGTTAGGGTTCCGGGACAGTATGAATCTTGCCGGAAAAAGGGTCCCTCAACCCTAAGCCCCCACACCCTAGACCCTAAACCCCTGAATCCTAAACCAAAGCCCCTGGACCCTAAACCCCTAAACAGGCGTTGCAACGGAGGTAGGGAGTCCGACAGTCTTTGCCAGCTACACTTCAGGCAAGCCCCGAACGACGGCGCAAGATTCCAACACCACAAAGCCGTAAACCGTAAACCCCTAGTGGAGTAGAGTGGCCTGCATGTTGACAAGCAGCATTCCTCCCTAAACCCTAAACCCTAAACCCTAAACCCTAAACCCCTAAACCCTAAACCCTAAACCCCTTTATGGTTCCCTGATCTGATCTATTCGTCGCACTGGAACACGCGGAACCCTGGTCTATCTACGTATTAGGACAGTATCAGTATGCTGCAAGGGTTTGAGGCTTACATGGTACCCTAAACCGGCTTACAGGGTACCCTGAACCCTAAACCCCCAAACCCCAAAGCCCTAAACCCCTTAAACCCCCCAACCCTAAACCCTTAAACCCCTAAGCTCCAAACACCGAAACCCTAAACCCCGAGCCCTAAACCCTAAACCCCTAAACCTTTAAGCCCCTAACCCCTGAAACTCTAAACCCCTAAACCCCGAACCCCTAAACCTAAACCCCTAAACCCTAATGCCTAAGCCCCTAAACCCCTAACCCCTGAACCCCTAAACCCTAAACCCCTAAACCCGAAACCGCTAAACCCTAAGCCCTAAACCCCTAAACCCTTAAACCCTAAACCCCCAAACCCTGAACCCCCCTAAACCCCCAAACCCCGAAGCCCTACGCCCCTAAACCCGAAACCCCCAAACCCGAAACCCCTACACCCAAAACCCCAAAACCCCTAAGACCCTTGAATCCCTACACCCCTTAACCCCTAAAAAAACCCTAAACTCCCAAACCCGAAAATCCTACGCCCAAAACCCCTAAACCCCAAAAAACTCTAAA